TTACAATTTTTTTATATGTGTTGACTACATTTTAATAAGTATTAATAACTTTTATCTAGAGTAACAAAGCCACTTTTTCGGCTATTCATAACTTTCGTATAAATATTGATTACATTTATAACGTTAGATAAATTTATTAAAATTGGATAATCTTATGGTATTAAACAAAAATTAAAGAATTCCTTGTTTCTTAGAGACCATAATTTTAGTTTGGAAACTGAATTTATTTTATTATATACTTTTTTATAAAATTTATTTCATAATTAATGTGAAAAAATTGTAGTTTAAATATATATGATGAAGGCAACCCAAACAATGTAACGTTTGGAGATTTAAAATGTTAAATAGGGCAAATGGAATTTCACATGGGGACACAAATGGAATTTTATTGGGCGGGGTGGGGGAAGTGATTTTTCATTTTTTGGTGATTTGCTTGGGGTCATGTAATTGGATTAGAGTTGGAGCGCATTGTCCGCAGAAGAGGCAGACGCGTAACAGTGACCGACAATTTGGAAAAGTAAAAGGAAAAGAAAAGTGGAAGGAAATGACGAAGAATGAAAGTGGAGAGACCCTTCAAGCATAAAAAGCCTATAATTTTTGGGGTGAAAATCAAAAAAATAAGATTGGGTGGTCGTCATTCAAATTTTATTTACATAATTTGGAAAAGTAAAAGGAAAAGGAAAAGTGAATGGAAATGGTGATGAATGAAAGTGGAGAGACCTTTCTCGCAACAAAAAGCTAGAAATTTTGGGGTGAAAATCAGAAAAATCAGTTTGGATGGTCATCATTCAAATTTCATTTAGATAGTTTACATTTGATGTTTTTTATTTTTTTTTTTTAAATAATTATTTTAATAAGTATAAAATTTTAAAATCAATAATTTCTTATTATATTTTTTTTCCCCAAAAAATCACTTTTTAATTAAAAATTTAAATTCAGTCCATTAAATTTAGGTAGCTCAAGTCTAAGGGGGATAGCATAGGTGCTTACACTCAAACTAGTTCCAGAAAACAGAGTACACTAGATTCTTCTCGATCCCTGTGAAGAGGAAAAATCTTCCTAGATCTGGCGTTCGACCGCACTTCCATTGATGTGGGGTCGCGTTCTTTCCAAGCTTGTGTTGCTTTGTTCATAGTATAAACCTGCACTTGCAGGACTCAGTTAGCTACCAATCAACCCATAGCTCAGTACCAAAAACCCAAGCATCTGCTTCATACTCCTTACGATTCCTCCTTTCTTGTTCAGTCAACGAGCATCTTTATATTCATGGCTCACCAAACCCCAGCATCATCCTCGTGATGATGATGATTCCCTGGATCCTCAAGTTGCTAAAGATCCTAACGGAATGCTTCCTGTTTCATATCCTCAAGTTGTTACAGAGGAGCCTGCAAAAGCATCACTTGGTGTGGTTTCTTTTCACACTTCAATTTTTTCGTCTTTTCTATTCATACCTGTTCCTGTATATGGTTCTTCGCATGTATAAACAAATTCTAATCCTGGGTTGATTTAAACACGACCAATTTGCCTGAATTTGTACATATTATGCATGATTATTCAAGCATAATATGCTCAAACGGGTGATATTGGACCCATAGAAACTCACCTCAGAGAGGCATGAGGATCGATGCCCATCTATTTCTCATATCAGTTCTGAGAGCAAAGGCATAAAGCAAAGCCTTTGGTCTTTATGAGGGAAGAGGTAAGCATATATCTACAAACTACAACTACTACTACTACTATTATTTAAGGTACTCATACTTGGTATTAATTGCTACAGGTTGCTAGGATTCTTTGAAGCTTATTTATTTCAAAGTGATGAGAGAAAACGAGAGGTATGCCAAGTCAGGGTTCCTCTCTATTTTCCCCTCTCTCTCGCTCAATTTTTACTTCAAGGATCTAAGATAACATCAGTGCAAGACACAGCTGTTCTCGGACAAAGCAAGGACTTTGACTGACAAGCCTGCAAGAGGAGAAAGAGTTAGATAAAAGCCTCCAACGAAGATGACAACTCTCAAGTCTCATCAGAACTGATCCTTTATTTTATCAGTTTAGTATTATATCCTCACCGCTGTTCTGTACCTGTAATTAGTTCTTTATTCTTGGAAGCATTCGCATGTACAGGATCCAAGCTGAAGGATGAAGAGCAAGCTCGAGATCTTAATGCTGCCGTAATCAATTCTAATCGCTCCCTGCGTTCGTCCTCAAGAAGATCTATCAGAAGCAGTTCTGGCGATGCTTTTACTACTCCACGCCCTTCTTTTTCTTCCGAAAACTAAGGCCGGCAAATTAATTCTTTGGGGTCTAATGATACTTCCATTAGTATGCCTAGGACCGATCCTTCTGCATCATCACCGCACGAACACAACAAACTAGGCTTCGTGGTTTTTCCTGTGGAACTTCTAAATGCTATAATCAGTCTTGCTGTTTCATCAAAGGCAAAAGATAACCAGGTTCTGATTTATGTTGCGGTGGCTTGTTCTACACTGGCGTTCTCCATTTCTTCAACTGCTCTTGTGTTGCGTAAGAAAAGGCCTCTGATGGCGAAGAAGATGCAAAAAGCTGCGTTTCTGATCGGCACGTTTGGATTCTTGGGAATGATGGGCATGCTTTTGCCTTCAAGCATCAGTTGGTGGTTCGCTATCTCAGCCTTCCTTCTTTGTGTTCTGATGTTTGCCGTTGCAAATTTGATTGGGCGGGAGGAACCTGGTTGAACTCGAACGAGTCACTTCGCATGTTATGAGTGACTATTGTCGTTGTCGTTGTCCATGAGTTTTCCTTGGTTCTTGTCTTAGTATGGGTTTCGTGGAGAACACTTGATTTTCCTGTAATGTAAATAATGTAAAGTGATGTGCAAATGGACAAAAAGTGATATCTCCATTGGTATCTTAATCTCTTGTGCTGCATCATTCTTTCATCCATCTTTCTTTCTAATTTTTTTCCTCGGAAAATGACTTATAGGACTACTGAGAGAAATGAATGGCCTCAAAAGACTGATAAATTCATAAAGATATGGTTAAGGTGTTTATTATATTTCTCTTCTTCTCCATAAATTTATCATGATGGTATTTTAAAAAAGGAAACAAATTTTGCTACCCATAAAAAAATTAATAATTTGTAAACCCTTATAATTTCACCTGATTTTTAATTAGGTTTATATTTTTTTTTCTTTTCTTTCTATGTCCTTATAGTTGCACTTGATTTTTAATAAGGTCTTTATAGTTTCTTTTTCTTTTTACCAGGTCCTTATGATAATCATATCACTTGTGCTTTATTATTTATTATTAATATTCATTATTCCAAATTAAGAAAATCAAATTCATTTAATTTTAATTTGAATTATTTTTGAATTATTTTTCCATTTTTATTTTATACTAATATTTACGCTACTTTATAATTAATAGTCTATATTTTATTATTTTGTTATTTTCTAGCTCAAATTTATTCTAGTTAAAATTTTATTATTTTATAAATATTTTATTTAATTAATAATTGAATTGTTTTATTTCTTTTTATTTGTTAAATTCTTAGCAAGTGTAGCAGATTATGGTTTAACTCGACGATGATGATGTCCTCCATGTGTTGGAAAAATAATTCATCCCCACTCCTGCGGCCTGTTTCACCATTTTACTCTTTACCAGTTTTGACTTTGTTGAACTGTCTGCATGGCGACACACCAGAACATTCCCTTTTGCCTAGGACGCATTGAGGGAACTGTCCAAACAATAACTACAGAAACAAATAGAAACAGAAAAAAATTTATGTTTAAGGCATTATTTTGCATGAATCTTCATATAAATACCACTTTTCACGTTTCATCAACCTTGTGCATCGCCTGGATTAATAAGGGGTGAAATATCCTGCGAAGGCTTCAGATGCGGGAAGTAACCTTGTGTTGGCTTTTATTTCCAAGGGACTTCTCACCCTGTTTCAATTACACAGTAATTGTCCTGGTCCAAATACAGTGCCAAAAAAAAAAAAAAAACCATCAATGAGAAGTGAACAGATTTACCTTGATGTTAACTCCATTTCCTAATCTAATATCGGATATGAAATCCCTGTTGTTGAGCTAGCAGCAACAGTGATCATCCATGGTGCAAGATTTGTAGCAGAACCAGGATTTCCACTATTCCCAGCTGATGCGACCACAAGCACTGCATGACTAGCAGCATGGAATGACCCCACAGATATGGCATCACTGAAATAGTCTCCTTGGGGAGCTTCAGGACCGAGAGAGAGAGAGAGAGAGACAGAATGTGAACCCCATCTCGGATGGCAACATCAAAGGCAGCTAGTAAGTCTGCGTCATAGCAACCTGAGTCCCAGCAAGTTTTATACACAGCAATCCTAGCCCTTGGCCCCCCTCCCGTAGCATTTCCAGCTCCAAATCCCTTGCAATCACATTGAAAAAGCTCGACTCAAAACAAGTTGATATTTTGTCATCTTAACCTAATTAAAGTGGGTTGGTGGACTGAAATAATTCACGTTTTTGCCAACTCGAACTTTCCATTTCACAAGCTAAATTTGCGCGTTTAGCTCATAATACTGACTCTAATTACTCATACGTAATATAGGTTTTGTATTATTTTATTTATGTTTTATATAATTTTATTCTTTCATTTGTAATCAATTTTTTTTTTGATAAAGTAATCAAATTTAAGTATGAACATTTTGTTTCAAGTGAAAAGACCGTTAATCATTGGATTGAATCTAATAATTTAAATTTAATAATTCTCTCCCTAACATCTTGACAAAAGAATTCTTAAACCTTTGAAAGCGAACCAAGTATGATGAAGTTTTGATAACTGATATTTTATTAATATTTTTCATTTAATCTCAAAACTTCTTTCTATTCCGTATTTCTGATTTGTATGCCAATTGTGCATTGTTACAATTTTATCATATCAAATGTTATCCTAGAAGCCAATTGCAATTAATAAAACTCTTTATTGTAGCTACCGTGGCTGGTGCCCAATGAACATGTGCCCGTCCTTATGTTCTTCTCCATTTCTTTCAATATAAGAAAGGTATTTTATTGCACAATTTAATCTTGATAGTCAGAAGGATCGATTATTAAAAGTTTAAAGCTGATAATTTATATTTGGGAAAAAATTAATTTGAATCTTTTGCGCTTATAATAAAAAGGTCAAGAAAACATCACAGTTTTCCCGTTCTAGACATTCGGATCCTTATGGGCGCTTTATACGTAACTTATGATTAACTAAATTATATCATTAATTAATTAATTCCAAGTGCAATCTTGTTGGCAAAAATATAATAAAATAAAGGCTAAAGTATATATTTAGTTCTTTATCTTTATATAAGTTTCGTTTTAGTCTCCTAATTTTAAAATGTATATTTTTAGTTTTTTAACATAAAATTATTAGTTTTAAATGATGATTTTCTTTTTGGTAACAATCATAGTGGTTTTAAATTTAAAATTAATATATTAGCATTTAAAAATATTTTATTAATATTCAAGGTCTCAATATCATTATTTTTTTGTTAACAATTTTAGGGTTAAAGAATTGAAAGTATACATTTTAAAGTTAATGAATTAAATTAAAACCTTATGTAAAAATTAATTAAAGGACTAGAATTATACTTTAACCCAAAATAAAATAAAAAGAGTAGGGTTATAGTCATCCGCAACCCTGCATCATCATCCATGAATATAAACAAGTAACTTATCCTCTGATCTATATTCTTTTTCCCCCAAAGAACAAAAAAGGATTTCAAAAAATAATAATTGAACAAGTATTGAGTGTTGTTTATTCTCAAATTAATTATTAGAGACATGTAATCCAAAGCTATACTCACCATATTGTTGATCAAAATATGAGTTTTATTATGATAAAGAACTTGTACTATTATCATTTTCATGTTAATTAACTACATTACTTTGGTAAACTATACATGTCTTTGGTTATATGGGTAATATATTATTTTTGAACTAGCATTTGATATATGGACTTTTTGACAATCATTCATCAAGTGACCAAACTTCTTGTAGTAGCACCAATCGGCTATGAATCCTTGTATTAGATGTGAAAACTTGAACTGAGAGAATTCTAGGGCTCTTTTTTTTGTTTCCGAAAACAAAATTTTCAAGCGAACAGAAAGAAAGATCCTATAGAATATTAATGAATTCCGCTTGTTGCATGTAGATCCCACAAGGTGAAACTCGTCATTTATGTTTTTATTTTCTCTTTATCATGATAAAGATACAAGTATAAGGGAAAAATAAGCAAAAAATTATGCCAGGTATAAGTTCAAAAGTGATAATGAAAAACATATTTCTCTTTTTATTCTTTGTTTTGTCCTTTCCCAGCATTAAGAAAATGACATGTTTTCAAATATTGGACCGCTATATTTCATTTCTCACCCACGCGTCCCCTTTATGTATCTCTCTTCTTCTTCTTCATTATTTTCTTCCTTCAGTACAATGTCTAGCATCTCATCTTCCTCTGACAGTACAATGTTTTTGCTTTCTCGATCGACTTGGATTAGCTAGTTCTTTTTCCACTAGTTAATATTCTTATAATCATCAAAATTTTTAGATGAATTTGATTGATGATTGAGTTGTTTGATAATTTGCAATAATAAATGATGAGATATTTTTATTTTGGGCCCATTTAATAACCATATACTCCAAGTGCATGTTTATGATGGCTTCATATATCATCTCTTTATTTTCTTGAATCAACACTTGCTCATACAAATGTTAACTACTTTAAGGAGCAACACATTGTACAATATCTCGGGTCCATGAGGCTAAAATACGTCTCATTTAGGCTTAGATTATTGAAAAGTTTATTAGTAAGGGAAGTGAATCATTAAAATCTTGTCGTCTTATACACATGGATAGCTGGTAGTGATGGATCACTCTCTGCTCTCCCCTGCAGACTTTCCAAGACTACGTGATCGGAACCACAAGACGTCTAATGAGGCTGATCTCCTGCACAGAAACAAGAAGAAGATTAGCGGTGTTGATGAAGGTGGACGAGCTGCTGTTTTGGAGGATTCAGTTCGATCCTTCAATGATACCTTGAAGGGGGTGGATTCGATGATTGAGGAAGGACCAGTAGCAGATAACGTGATGGAGAATCTGAAGGGGGGGATACAATCGTTGAACATCTGAGAGGTAATATTACTATCCCCGAATTCATACTAGCAAAGGAAGTGGTAGAGTATATT